GACTCAGTTACCCGAAGAAATTCGATAATGGCCATGGGCAGAAAAGCGAGGTGCTGAGTGTCACGTAGGGATAGATGGGCAGAACGACGCAGGTCCAGAGCATGCTCAGCCCAGGGGGAGAGAGGAAAGGAAGACGCTAACTTGTAGAGATCACCGGTGACCACACGCTTAGCGAAAGCAGCAATGGCTTGATCTTGCTTGTGGGTGCCACCTCCTTTCCATCGCCTCAAAACTCTGCGGCACCCTCGCCGCCACCGCAGCAGGGCATGAGTGGCAGTGGTCATGTAAGGTTTCCTGGGCCTGTTGGGATCGGCCGCAAAGTGGGCCTCCGCAGCTTGTCGAAGCGTTCCAGCCGCGGCAACAAGGTGGTCGTTTAGACCAGTTTCCCAGGAAGGGAGGGCACGAGCATTGAGATCGGCCTCAAAATCGGCCACAAGGGCCGCTTCTTGCATCTTTCTCTTGTCAAGTTTTTTGGTGGCCGACCTAGGAACCGAGCAGTTCTGCTTCCAAACAAAGTCCGCAATCACAGGGAGGTGGTCCGTTTGAGACGAGACATTGTCAAAACACTTGTCCACGTGGACTCCTGCCAGATGCGGGGTGTGAGCAAGTCCGCACAGAACATAGTCAATGCGGTGCCACCCAGCGTCTTCGTGCTCATTGGTCTGGGGGGCCTGCCAGGTACCCTGGGACGGGTCGTTAGAAATCACCGTGCTGGTGGCAGTGAGCTCGCACTCTGACAGGAGCTCGTGCAGATGTTCCCCTGGCTTGTCCTGGACCTCAACCTTGCCATCCTGGCCCACCCATTGAGAAAGCCCAGAGCCTAACCTAGCATTGGCACCGACACATGCAAAGTCGGGTGGGTACCTGGCAAACTTACGCCCGAGGGACTTCCAGAAGTCAGCGATATGGGCGGCAGGATAGCCAGAGTGGGGAGCATGGACAACAGAGAGGGTAGCCTGGAGATAGGAGGCCTGCACCGACACAGTAAGATGCCTCGAGCTGGCGCTCAACACACGCAGGTCCTGGGGCTGAAGGTAGACTGGCCTCTGCTTGACCCAAGCATAAGGTTGCGCCAGATTGGCCCAGAGCTCAACCCCCAAGCCGCAGTCGTCTTTTCAAGAGGAAAGAACAAACCAGGCCCCAGCCTTCCGAGCGCGTCGTTTGGTCCTGGCCTCTTGGAGGCCGACGAAAATGGCACCTTTGTCCTGGAACTGCTTCTTGATAGCAGCGTTTTTCATGGCTTTATAGAGACTCCGCCTGCCTTTACCGATCTCCTCCGTGAGGGATCTGGCATTGTATTGACAAATCCTCAGTCTGATTTCAGCCTGCTGCTGAATGGCTGGGGGGTCCGAGGGAAGATGCTCAGCGCAGGCAGAGAGATCAGGAAGCGGCGCGACAAAACCCTCTTCAGACCGTGGGGGGTAAGCGGCAGCGTCGGCAGGGGCGAGAGAGAGCCAGTCCCAATCCCTAGACCTGGCATACAAGGTAAGATCCACTAGCTGAGCGTCGAAGGGCGTGAGTGGCAGACTTTCTGCACTGGCCTCTTTGGCTACAGCATCAACAAATTCGTTCCACGGATTAAGATTGTGGGCTTTGACATGTGTCAGAGTGACCTGGCGCTCCACCCGGCACAGATCCCAGAGAATTCTGACAAGTCTGGCAACGTGGTTGTCGTTAGAGACTGTGGCAGTGCCGTTGAGAAAATCAACAGCTGACTTCGAATCACTAAGTATGGCAACAGGACCCGAGCACGCGTCACTGACGACGTCAACGAGGACCCAAAAGAGAGCAACACATTCGGCACAAGTGCTAGTGCCCGCGACTCGGGCGCGGCAGGTGTCTTGGAGACGTCCCGCCCAGAAACCAAGGTAGGCCTGCCCCTCAGAGTCCCCACCTATTTTAACAACACCCCAGCCCCCCAAGTCCTCACACCCAGGCTTGACTGACCCGTCAGAGTAGTACCAAATCTTATCCCACTGACTGGCACGAGGAGGACCGAGAGAGAGCGCCATTTCTGCGATGGGTGCCAGAGAGCGCGGGATGGTAATGGGATCAAAAGCGGGAGTGCCAATATTACGTATGGTGTGAACGATTGGCGGCAGCATAGAGAAGTGGCAGCGAACTACGTTGCCTAAGAAACCCTGACGCTCTTCCCCTGGGGCAGGATCTTGAACGGCCGCATCCCCTGATGTTGGACCCCCCTGCTCAACATTAGATGGCGACCACGCGGGGGGGGGGGGGGCAGTGGGCGCAGCAAGGATCAGAGACGAGAGGAGCAGAGGGGGAGAGACTGGCGGCGGCGGCGGCGCTGCCGCGGCTGCAGGGGCTGGACTGTCCAGCCCCTGGGCCTCGACCGCAGGGTCGAGGGTCGTCGAATTGCGCTGGTTGTCAAATCCAGCATCCGCGCTGTCAACTTGGGTGGATGCGCGGGGGACGGCAGCGGAGAAACAGGACGAAGACGAAGCTAGAGAAAGGGAGCAGCTAGGTGTTCTGCCTGACTCATCAGGCGAATTGGTGCAAGTATTGTCCGGCGGGCCTCTAGATAGCTCAAGAGATGCCCCACTGGTAGTTGAGGTCAGTTCAGGCGGGTCAGCGGGCATTTCATTCCCACCCTCGCTGGTGCCTGCATCAGACCAGTCTTCTGCATAGTAGTAGGTGCAAGAGGGCCCCCAGCTCACAAGTCGCTGCTGCTCGAGGGCGCGGGGCGGGCGGTAGCCTCTGAGAGAGCTGTGGCTGCTGTCTCCTGCTCGGTCTGAGTCAAGAGTGAGATCACACGGGGTATCTTCTGCTCGGGGGCCTTGGAGGGAGAGCCCCGCTGCCTCGGAGGCGGCGTCGGCGCCATCGACGAGGTGAGGGCTGGGGCCGTGCGCGGGGCTGATGCTGAGGCTTCCCTGAGGCCCTGGGATGACATGAAGTGTTCGTACTCCTCGGTCGATATATGTCGCTGGCCCTCTGGGAGGAGAAAGTGAGGCGAAGCCGTGATCGAAATCGCTGGACCCGGCAGCATCTCTTGGTCCATTGCAGCCGAGAGGGGTTGAGTCGGGGACAGCAGCGTGGCTGGCGGGATGAAAGTCGAGACAACCTCTGTGGGAGTGAGCAGCGGCGGCACCTCCTCTGGCGTCAGAACAACTGGCGTGGGCATGCCCGATACTGGAGTCGCAAGCCCAGGCACCACTTCCGCCTGGGAATCTTGAGTAAACCCCACCTTCCCGTCCTTGCCCTCCTTGCCGTCCTTGCCGTGCTTGCCCATGCCTTTTTGCTTGAGGATGCCCGAGATGACACCGTCTGAGGGCGCTGCTGCACCCTTGCCACTGACTGAGGGCGGGGGACCTTTGCCGCCAGACCTGCTGGCTGGGGCTGGGGCTGCTGAGACGGGCTGCATGCTGGGGGCCCCAGCGAGACCGGCCAAACTGGGGTAGCCCTGCACTGAGGCTGTCATTGGCGGCGGCGGCGGCGGCGGGGGCTAGCCCCCCATCATGGGCATCATAGGCTGGCCTCCTGGGGCCTGGCCTGCGTTCTGAACCATGAGGCCGAGCATCTGCTGCATCTGTTGCATCTGTTGCTGCATTGCTGCTGCTTGAAAGGCTAACTGCTGCTGCATCTGATATTCCATGCTCTCCTGGCGCTGCTGCACGACAAAAACGAGTTTCTGCAACTGCTGTGCATGCGAGGTGGGAGGAGACTGACGCTGCTGCGACCTGCTGCGGAGCTGAGGGGGGGGCTGAGGAGGAGCAACCGCCGCACCCTGTGGGGCTGTCGTCGGGGGAGCAGCACCGATCGGCGGGCCCACGGCCGCCGCAGCTGCATTGCTGCCCACTCCCTCTTCGCAGCCCTCCATGGCCGCGGGTCCCTCCCACTCTTCCGCAAAAGAAGCATCTCGCGCGTCCTGGGCTTTCTGGGCTTCTAGCTGCTGGATATACTGGTGAAGCTCGGCAATATCCTCTTCCGTCTCCTGTTCCTGGGCTTTCTGATCCTTCTGACGCTTGCGAATGAGTTCCATCTTTTCTAGGGCACGATTGTACTTCGACTTGGTCTCTGAGATGCGCTTCTGAGGACTCTGGAGGAGGAGGAGGCAGTATTTCAAAACAGCCAACTCTACTAGTGCCTCTGAGTCTTCCCGTCCCGCCATGGAAGCAGATACTGCCAAGTTACTTATCTTGTACATATTTTCCCTCATGGCGGTGCGAAACTCTCCGTGTTTTTTCTCGTCCTCTGGCGGCCTGATGATAGCATGGTGCCTCTCTGCAAACTGTGGCGAGGCTGGGGGAGTGCGCGAGATCAGCTGGCGAATTTCCATATCTAACTCCCTTCCCATACCGCTGCCTGAGCTGAGCACCTTCTGCTGCCAAGGTGGGGGGTCCCTGTGCCTTCCCCTTGAGGCGGAACGAGGCCTGGGGCGCGTAGTGCGAGGCGGGCGGTGCCCCTGTTGCCACCAAGAGAGCCCACACGAGCAAAATTCCTGAGACCACGGGATACTGTGAGCTCCGCATCTGCAAGACCATTTTTGCATGCTGACTGCTGCTGCTACTGCAAAATCTGACTGTGCTACTGATCTGCTGGGGCGCTGCGCGCTGTGGTGCCTGTTGAGCACCTTTTGGGCCTTCCCTATACTGAGGAGAAGGCGAGCCTGATGGCGCTCTCTGCGCTCTCTCCTGTGCCAGGCGGGGCTGCGATCCCGCGGCGTCGGTGCCGCCTGGCACGGCGGTGCCGTGCGGGGCGGGCTGACGCTGGCTGGCACTGGCTGGCGCGGGCCAATGGCGGCCGCGCGGGGCCACGGCCGATAAGGGCTGCCCCCCAACCCCCGGGGGCGGCTCCTCAGCCGAAACCCTCTCCTCCTCCTCCTCCTCCTCCTCCTCCTCCTCCTCCTCCTCCTCCTCCTCCTCCTCCTCCTCCTCCTCCTCCCTCGCCTCCTCTCCCGTGCCTCTTCAAAGAAGAGGCATGAATGACGAACAATCATGCCAACGAACGGCCACGACAACACATCCCGAAACGCCAACCGCCTCCTCCAGCGTCGCTCTCGTCGGTTTCCGGGGCCGTGATCGACAGCGGGATGATCGTGTCCTCACAATGGCTGCGCGAACCGTCTGAAACAAGTGCCGCTCACGATACAGCACAGGAGAAGCTCCACAAAAAAGATGTGCAGACAGGTGGAGGTGGGGGAACGAAGGTAGAACGAGGAGAGCGATGAAGAGAGTGATGAGGAATGGGATGACGGGGAACAGCAGCAGCACCAGCGGCTTTAGGAAAAGGATGAAGACGAGAAGGGACAGACTTAGACTTAGAAATCCCTGGGCGAAGACAAGCTGAATAATCCGACCTTGACCCGCTGGGCGGCACACCTGTGGCTGCAACATAGCATTCACGCTGGCACGGCCCCCCCTGCAACTCGAAAGGGGCAACAACAAAACGCAAGGGTGGCGGCCCATTCTGGAGAAACTACAAGGTACCGATACCGCTACTTCCCGGACCTCTCCTGGGGTGCGTTCTGACCAGAACTTCGAGGCGAATCCAGCGGTGGCGACAAGGGCCTCCCAGGAGGCCCAAAAAGGGAAAAACGAGGAAAGGGTAGCGGTGTGGGTACGCTCACCTCCTCCGAGCAACTCGACAGGGGTAACAACAGGGCGCAGGGGTGGCGGTCCATTCGACAAGCGGGAGAGACTGGAGACCACCATGCCAGACGCATGCTACAGATGGCCCCCAACGGCATCCCCTGCAGCAGAGCTCGCCACCAATGGGTCGCTACCCTTTCCCAAGCTCCGGTGGTTGTCTCCCCCTACCTCCTCTCCCACGCCCCTCAGGGCCAAGCTGAATTCTAGCGACAGGAACATGCGGCTCTGGGAATCCTCCAAAACATCCTGGGGGAGGACTCCCTACTGACGAGGCCGCGAGCGATAAACTGTTCAAGCCTACCACTGCCAGCAAGACTCTGCATCCTCCTCACTTTTCCTTCCCAGAGCCACGCGGAGGAAGAGGATTAGGAAACATGAGTGTGTAACATGAGGGTGCTGATGAGGCCGGGGACGGAAGCTTGACCGACTCGAAATGTTAGGTATTGCACGTGGCAAGACTTGTTGTGAATAGATGGCATGGTTTATGACTGCCCGCGCAATAGAAACTGTCCTTCCCGTAGCAAGGCCGTTCTTCGTCCTGGATTCAGCGACCCCCTCCCGTGGACCCCGTGGACTGACTGTGCGCAGCGACCTGCTGCCACCGTGCGCGTGATGTCGGCCTTCATCAGTAACGTGGCTGCGACTGCTCAGCCTTCCAACGCCCACTGGCGACTGAAGGCCAAGACTAACGACTTTCTCATTTCGTCGGGATCGTCGGAAGCCGAAATGGAACTGCCATGCTACTCCATGCTGCCCCCGTTTGCGGCGCCGACCGTCAACTCCGTAACGCTACTTCAGCAAGTATTCCAACACCCGGAACGAACGCAGAGCAGCCAGCGTGCAGACAAGGCATCGTCCTGCCCCCCTTCGTTGTTGGGATCGCTGGAGGACGAAAAGCAGCTGCTCAACTGCTCCTTGCCACCCTGGTGTGCGGCGTCGCCCGCCAAACCCTCCACAACGCGACTCCAGCAAGTATCTGCTCCAGCACCCCGCTGGCGAGCAGCAGGCAGCAGACAGAATATACATTCCCACAGCGCGTCCTCACCGGCGAAGGGCGACAGACCAGGGGCGAAGCCCTTTGAGACAGCCTGTCCCCCTACAGGCGAGGTTAGGCCAGAAATGACAAACCTTGGCATCCACTGGCCCTTCAGCAACCCTCTCGGCGACACCAGTAGGGGTCGCAAGTGAAATGTAAGATGACGCTTCGTAAAGCAATGTGGAGGGAACTGATTACTAAGAAAATAGCTCCCGAATCTTCGGCCTGCGCTTCGCTTTGGCTCCGTGCCCGTCGACTGGCCAGGCGTGCGCTCGAAGAGGGCGGGGGGGGAACGATTATGAAGGGGCCCTTGGACACACAAATAAATACACACAAATATAAGGATTCTCCATATTTTCAAATATTTCCTGGGTTTTTGTCTCCCCCCCACTTCCCACATCTTCCCTCATTTTCTTGGGAATCGACGATTAATTGTGTCGTGTGTTTCTTTCCCGCCTGAGATTACACAGTAGTTTCAGGGCCCGGGGGCCGTTTCTCTCATCGTCATCCTGGGCGCCGCCGCGTGAACCCGGCCCCCGGTATTTTCTTGACCATCATCCTGCAATATATGGCTGCCAGATGTCAGGTCGTGAGCGGAACGGAGCGGAACGCCTGTGCGGGCATGCGACGGGGCCCGTTCGGGACGAAGCGGGTGTGGCCATGGCCTCGCACGAGAAACCGCGTGCGCCGGGCGCCTACTCAGGGAGATGCGTACGCCGCCAGATGATTTTCCAGATGTTCCCACTCCTTTGTTGGCAGCCGGCTGTAGCCATGTGGTGCCGTTGAGGTCGTTCTGCGCTCTCGGCGTCTGGCGGTGGTGGCGGTGGAGGCGGAGAATCGGATGCCAGTGGGAGGTTGGAGTGCCGAGCCGCTCGACGCTGGAGGTCGATTGGCGGAGGTGGAAGTGGAGGTGCCAGGGCACGACAGAAGAAGGGGCTGGCAGAGGACGGCTGGAGCGAGCGAGCCCGCCGCGGCCACGAGACGGCCCAGGGGAGGGACGGGCCGTGCCGAGAGCAGGCAGCAGGCGGCGGGCATCGGAAACGCCAGCGCCACATCGGAGGCCAGCCGGAGGCAAGGAGGGCGCACGAGCCGCGATGCAGATCGGCTAGTAAAAAGATGCCGCGAGCGACGAAAGCATGCCGTCGCGACTGTTTGTCGCGTCGCCCCGGTCCGAGAGGCGAGCGAGGGGGCTTCGGGCGCGAATCAATTTGGGGGGGGGGAGGGGCGAATCAGTGGGGGGTGGAGAACAGGTGTCCTTCTCGGGCCCTCCAGGCACCCCTTGTGGGACCCAAAAGGGCTCCTCTAGGGGCCCGAAGGGGGGCCCCTTTTCGGCACTCCTCGCTGCCCCTCCAGTGGAGCCGTCCTGGGGGGAGGAGGAGGAGGATTTTCACCTGGACCTTTTCCTAGCCTGGTCTCAGGCTAGGATCCAAGCGGTGACCTCCTGCGGTGGCTGACTTCGGCAGCAACCCATGGGCCCCGACAAAAAGAGCTAGTTCGAGCCACATCTGGGCTCATAGCTCACGCGAGCAGCTTTCGAGCGAGGACCCTCCGCACCATCCTCACAGCTCGTCTCGCGGCCCCTCGCCCCACTCTCGTTGGAGGGAGCAGAGGGAAAAGAATTCACTGCCTGCTGCACTGACTCGTCACGATTGACGGTGTGACGAGCAAACTTGTTGAGCCGAGACTCGGCACCAAAATCGGAGGCGAGGCGGATCCTCGACCCCTGGTCTGCAGGGGTCGAGTGGGGCAAAACTCTACATCGGTACGACCCTTCGTGGGAAGGCGCTCTGAGACCGTGGATTTCGATACCATCCGAATCAAAAGTTGGGGACGGGCGTTGAAACAAACCTTGGTCGCTCTCAGTGAGAGCGTGAGGACCCTCCGCGCCATCCTCACAGCTCAGCACGTGACCCCTAGCCCCTCTCTCGTTGGAGGGAGCCGAGGGAAGAGAGAAACCTGCCTGCTGCACTGACTCGGCACAATTGGCGGTGTGTCGAGCCGTCTTGTAGGGCCGAACTTCACCACAAGAAACAGACGCAGGGCGGATCCTCGACCCCTGGACTGCAGGGGTCGAGTGGAACAACTGGGGAGTGGCAGCAGCATCCACGACCTGCACGACAGACGACTGCGCGCGCGTGCGAAGTGGGTGGTGGTGCACGTTCGTGCGTGCGTGCGTGTGTGCGTGGTTGTCGTGGTGGTGGTGGTGGTGGTGGTGGTGGTGGTGGTAGTGGTGGTGGTGGTGGTGGTGGTGGTGGTGGTGGTGATGGTGGTGGTGGTGGTGCTGGTGGTGGTGGTGCTGGTGGTGGTGGTGTTGGTACTGGTGCTGGTGCTGGTGGTGGTGGTTGTGGTGGTGGTGGTGGTGGTGGTGGTGGTGGTGGTGGTGGTGGTGGCGGTGCGGCGCGGTGGTGGCGGGCGGATGGGCGCGCGAGAAAAAAGGCCCGCGCTGGGGCGAGAACGCCATCCTGAACGACGGAGGCCAAACACCGATCCGAAAATGAGGCCCACGCTGCAGCGGGAGCACGATTCGGAACGATTCGGGAGCAGAAATGAGGCCGGCGCCTAACGAGAGCAGCATTTTGAGAAAAAATGACGCCGGCGCCTCAGCGAGAGTCGTTTCCCGGGATTTCCCGGGAATCCTGTGTGTAAAAAACAGTACGCGGAGGGTGCGCGGCCATCACCCGGACGCCATCAGGGGAAGAGGGAGAGTATTTTCATATTGAGTAATTGTGGAGGAGGAGGAGGAGGAGGAGGAGGAGGAGGAGGAGGAAGAGGAGGAGGAGGAGGAGTGCTCGCCCCTCGCGGGAGGAACGGGCCTGAAAAAAAGGGCGGCTGGAGCCAGGGCGCCCGCCGGGGCGCCACGGCGCGGCAGGCGGCGGGGGAGGGCGGCGCTCGAAGCGCTGGGCGCGTTTTGCCCTCCGCGTGAGGGCTGGGCTCCTGCGGAGGCCTGGCGGGAGGTATGAGCATCGTTTCACCGATGCCCATCCCCAGCGGCGATGCCTGGGCCCCACTGGCCGATGTACCCCCCTCGGATGGGAACATGGGTCGTTCCCGATCCAGGAGGAGGAGGAGGAGGAGGGCGAGGAGGAAGAGGAGGAGGGCGAGACAAGGAGGACGTGACAGTGGAGCGCAGAGGGAGCCTTGAGGAGGCGGCCAGGGGGCCGGGCGAGGCGAGGCAGGAGGAGGCGGCGCAGGCAGTGGAGCTTGGGCCGCTCTTGTCCCAGGACGGCTCCCCGGCCGTGGCTGTCCACCCACTAGGGGGCCACATGCGAAGCCTACCCCTACCCCCCACGATTTCTGAGGGGGAGGGTGGGGTTCACTGCGCCGCCCTCTGGCGCTGTGGATCTTCGGGCTACGCCACCCGAGGGCCCTCAATCGGGGATGGACAGACCCCCCTTTAGTAAAACGTGGTTTAGTGAAAACGACCTGAGGCCCAAACCTGGCGGGCGCAAGCCTGGTAAATAACGGCCACGGCGCTCTCTCGAGAACCGAAAACAGACAATGCACTAATCGACGTGTCACTGTTGGGGGTTCTGTCCCCCCCCGAGAAGGAGACGAGACGAGACGAACGCCGGAGCCGAGCGTGGCCCGCTGGGGAGCCCCGCTCGTGCCCGTCAGGGTGTGGCGCTCAGGCCGTCCCCTCGATCAAGGAAAAAAATTGCGAATCGACCGAACTTGCGAGCGACCACGCCGAGCGGAAAGCCTGCCGCACGACGGCCCTCTACGGAGCAGGGGGGGCAGGAAGAGCAGGAGCGGAGGAGGAAGACAACAACGACGACGACGCCGACTGTATTAACAATGATGACGGCGACTATCTGGGATCTCGTCATGATGTCAAGTGCTCAACAGAGGCACAAACAGAAACTGTCTCACCTGCAATGTGTCTGAATGGACTGGGTTGACAACTTTCGATTCTAGGGTACCATGCGCATGCGGATGCAGAGAAGTCTGAGATCATACATCGTCGTGAGCTCGTCTGCGCTTGAGGCGCCAGCGCTAAATAGCCTGGCGCATTCCGATAACACCCGGCCCCTGCTAACTCTGTATCCGTCACTGTGGCGGCGACGACAACGGTGTTAACAAGGACAACCTCGAAGCCGACGAAATCGATGATGACTTTGGCGCCGACGCTTAACAACGCTCTCGATACCTGTCCTGAAACGCGCTTTGACAAGGATTCCTGAGCCAAGGGCTTGGCGAAGACGGAGGCCACCACAGGCCCAGAAGAGGTGCAATCTCTCCCTGGACGCCCCAGACTGAATCCGAAGTTGGAGGGCCCGCTGTTCAACACCAGCGTCTGCGTCGAAGTGGGCCCGCAGAAAACTCATCTGCTTTGCACACCTGCACGCCGCCGCGATGGTTCTCGGCATGCTGTACTGCCCGGCGAGTGGAAGGATCGGGGGGCACGAAAGGGTACAGGACAGCAAAGGGCAGGGCAGAGAATCACCTCGCGTGTCTGGTTTTCCTGACGTTCCTGGCGTCAGGGAGGCGCCCATGTATCGGAGGATGGGGCCCGGCGGGGCCGAAACCAGCTGCGTACAGCAGACTTCGTACCCCCCCCTTCCCCTATCAATAGATTTCGCATAAATGGTAGAACTAATTTGTTGAATAAAAACAAAAAAAGATAATACTTGAGGCATGTCGTTCGGCCCGGAGAGAGGAGGGGAGAAGTGGGCAAACGACGACGAGCGCACAAGCGGGAGGCCAGGACCAGCGGGGCGAGCAGGCAGGCGGAGGGGAAGGCAGAGGATCCTCCAAGTTTCAAAATAAGCGTCGGGGGTGCACAACCCCCGCCCACAGCCCCACATCGACCCCCGTCGCGGGCAGCCACCGCGCGCCGAAGGCGCTCCGACCCTCGCCGCGGCGCGACTACGAGGCGACGTTGACCCGCGGCGGGGGGGGTACCCCCGCCACGCTCATTAAGGAACCCGGAGTACCCGGAACAGGCCACAGCGACGACGCCGACGACAACCCGACGAGATTGGTCCGCGGGCCACTCTGGGGGCCCAGCCACAGAACACGCTCGCACCAGAACGATTTCTGGCGGCCCTGGTGCCCGACGCGGGCCGGGAGAGGCCGATCACGGAGACAAAGCGGCGATGACGACGACGACGAACACAAAGGCCAAGAAGACGACGACCAAGACGACGACGACGACGACGACGACAGCGGCGGCGGCGGCGGCGACGGCCACGGCGACGCCCACGGCCACGGTGACGACCACGGCGATGGCAACGGCGACGACGAGGACGAGGGCGAGGGCGAGGGCGACGACGAGGGCGGGGGCGGGGGCGGGGGCGAGGGCGAAGCTGACGACGGCGACGGCGATCGCGCGGTCCTCGCCGGCGGCTGGCTCCGCCGGCGCGGGCGCCACGTCAGCTGGCACGGCCTCATCCGGGAACTCCTCGCAGAAGCGCGCAAGGATGCAAGGCGAAATTCGAGGCGCCAGCTAGGATGAGGAGGGGGAGGACGACGAGGAGGACGAGCAGGAGGAGGAGGAGGAGGCGGAGGAAGTAAGACACGATTATGGGCCCGCATCTCTCCTTGTCCGTGAACTGCCGAGCGGAATGGACAGCCATCGGCAGATTCGCAGAGTGGCGTGTTAAATTCGTGGGATTTCAAATGAACGCGCACAGGCGTTTTGAATCCAGGATACTGCACCCATCCAATTCACTTTGAAAGGTCATGTGGTTCAGAAGCGGCCTGGCGGACCCCGACGGGCCTGAAGACTGGGCCCCAGGGTCACGCGCACCGACGTATCAGTTACGAACAGGCCCAGGAATCAAGGACTGCGAGGGCCTCATAGCCCAGAGAAGACCAAGACACCCCGAGAGCTACGCGGGGTGTAGAATATGGCCAACAAGGGGGGCGGACCTCGCGGCAGCGTGAAACGGGTGAGAGGCGGCGGGCAGCCAACACAGGAAGGCTCACTGTGTGTGTGTGCCCGTCAATCGATATGTAGGTCCTTAGCGGCAGGAGGATGCCAAAATTGGGGTAGAGCGTCTCCGAACACTGACAAAAAAAACTCGCAAGCCTGTTCCCACGACGAGGGTAGCAAAACGGCGACGTACCTCCCACATCCGTGGAGCCACATCTCCACGGGGCGGGGGGTCCTCCAGTTCTGACATTCGAGGCAGGCTTCCTCATGTACCGTCCTTTGTGTCTACCGCGCTCTGTAGCATCTCCTCCATGGCGCCTGGCGGTGCCGCGCCCAGCGCCCTTCGGTCCCCGATGTCCTCGATTGTTTTCTGCAGTAGTCCCCGCGCGATCAAGGGCCCAGGCAGCAGCTGCTCGTTGGTCCCGTCGGTGCGCTTGGCATGAGCGCGTCTCTGAGCATCAGGTGCATCGTCCTCTTGTTCTGCTCGAAACACTTCGTGATGCGAAACAGCCGCGGCATGCCGCGCAGCTCCTGTGGCTGCTGTTCGCGCCATACTTTCACGTGCCACTCTTTGAGCACAGCGGGCGGCCACTGCCCCGGCGCGAGCCCACGCTCTAGCAACTTGCTGACGAACCCATTGAATCTATGAAGGCAAGGAGGACCGAGCTGGCGGCCTTTGCCGTGGGCGAGGACATATGTTGGATATGTCGCCCCTGCTTCCTGCGCCGCCTCGATCTCGGACAGGTCTGCGTTCGGGAAGAAAGCGCCCACGCCCGCGGCCCACAGGTCTCGCGCCATCTGCGCGGTTATCAGCGTCTGCTTGATCACCGCGTTGAGGAGCTGGGCCTGCTTCTTGGTGGAACCCACGTCCTTGACCTTGCCCAGATGTCTGTTGCGCTGCCGATTGCTGTCGGGGCCCCGCCGCCGCTGCTGGGCGTGCCTCCTGACGACGCGGCCCCTCGACTGGAAGCGGAGTCTGCCCCTGCGGCCGCTGTCTTCGCGGGCGGGGGCCCCGTGGCATTGGCCGCTCGTGGAGCGCCGTCGGCCTCTGCGCCACCTGGTGGGCGCTTGGGCAGTTGCCACTTGGGCGTCGCCATCGCTGCCTCTCCGCCCAGGTAGACATGGGAGGTGCCATTCGCAGATGATCTTGCAGCTGAGCCAACTCAGAATACGATGATGTGCAACATAGAGGACACTCGAGCTTGGGGGCGACCACAGGATGAATCGCACGGGCACCGAGGGCGGCGCAAACTCCCTTGCGGAAGGCACGGCAGAGGTGAGCTTCAGCAGTCTTCTGGAGAGCGAACGAGGCACGGCATGCTGGGCACGCGACGTCGCAACAGGCATAATACGAGAAATCGCCATGCCCCCCCCCCCCCCCCGCGCGTGCGTCTGGTGCGCAACGAGGGCAGCATATGTAAAACATCGAGCACCGCATTCATTTCATTCAGCGGTCGTGCGCCTGCACGCGTGGACGAAGCCGCAGGGGCCCACGAAGTCTTCGGCGTTGCCCAGCTGGCGAGATGGTATCATCCGAAGTCGATGGTGCCCATGTCAGTCTCGCCGCTCTCCCATATCATGCGCAGTGAAGAGACGTTAGCAGCTGGGAAAAGAAAAAAAAGCATGGGATCTGCAGTCATCCTGAAAGAGCGCACATATGTCCTCACCCCAGGTGGGGCGCACATCTTCAGAGTCAGTAAATAGCTCGAGCTGGCAAGTGTCGGCGACGAAACGAACGGCGACCGGGCTGGCGCGCAGGAGAGGCGGCCGTCGATGACGGTGGGGGCACTCTCGAAGCCGAGCCGGCCGAAGAGGAAGGCGATGACCTGGGAGTGCTTTTCGGGCCATCGAGCGAGAGTTTCATAACATGAAGGAGCTGGATCAACAGCTCGACTGTCGACGGCGCTATGTTCTTCCATTTCCATACAGACCTAGAGCCCATCACAACACGATGATCCCCAGATCGGTCACACGCGAAGTCGAGCTGGGCCTCCTAGGTGGCCGCGAGGAGATGTGGTGTGAGTCCTGACAGTAGCGCACCTTGCCACGGATATGAATACTAGCCTCTTCACCTTGAAAGAGGCCCCCGAGGTCCACATATATCTATATGACAACCACCCCCCGTTGGCCGCTTTCTCACTCAAGGCTTGCCGGTGGGATGAACCGCACGATGGGGGGGGGGGAACTGCGGGCCCAAGTATTCGTGTGAAGGGCCACTCTTGCCCGGCCAACCTCCGCCACATAAAACAGGCCAGTGGCCTTAACCGCAGAGGCGCGAGACCAAAGCTTGTTTTTTTCGTGATCTGCTTGTATCCGACCTCCGCCAGAACTTTGCCTGGCTCGTCCTGGGCCTCGCGCGCTGTCGCGACATCCTCCGACAGAGCCCCCTCCTGTAGCAGCAGGAAATAAGCGAGGTCATCAACATGCTTGAACGAACCCGCATAGACCTCACGGGAGAACACAGCGCGCTGGGCAACGAGGGCGGGGCCCTGGCTGGCCCCGAGCCACTGCTGGAGGGGGCGAGCAAACTCGGCGCGAAACTCGTCAGGCGCACTGGGCCCCCCCACAAGCGCCCCGCTTTGGAGGTGCGAGGTGGTAGGGCCATCCACGGCGCGCCCGTCGCCCAGCAGGGCTGCGCCCCTCACTGGCAAGTACTCTAACAGTCCACGATTTATGCGCTCGTGATCGCAACAGCCAGAAGCATACATCACGTCATCAAACACAGCGATGTGCCATGCACGCGCGCCGCGCAAGCGCTCCGACAACACGCGCGCCCCAAGAATGGCGTTCTCTCTCCGTCTGTGCGGGATGCATCCGCGGTCGAAATCCACAGGCGCAGCGCGCGAGACAGACTTGCGCACCCCGCGTGCAACAGAGCGAAAGAAAGAGCGGGGGGCGCGCAGAAATCTAGCGCCGCCATCGGGTTTGGGGGACTGCCATCCAACCCGGGAGTCCGCGCAAGTCGGGGAGCTCCCCACAAACCGCCAGCGAGTGCGGAGACTTCCCGAAAACGATTTGATGGCATCTACATCGGGGGCCCAGGTGCACCTCCGACCCCAACAGGGGAGTGGCTTACTGAAATATCTCGGTTTCATTGGCCACGCCTCGCCAGGGAGAGGCCGGGCAGGGGCAGAATGCCGACGCGAAGCCTTTCGGGGCACCCACGGAGCTCTACGAAGGTCTCGAAATCCCAACTCCCCCCCCCCCCCGAGTCTCGCTCACCCACCCCCCGAGGGGCCAAGGAGGCCCGCCGCGCTAAAAATCTTCAGTCGAGACTGGGGCCGCAAGGAGGCCGCCATCTGAGCCTGGGAGACCCAGCGCCGACGCGAGTTCATGAGGCGATGCAGCGCGCCTACACACCGCCGAATAGCGGCGACGTTTCGGCCCCGGTTCCGCGCCAGCCAGCCATCTGGAAAAATGCAACGCGCTGGCCAAGTCGCGCCTGCGCCACGCCTCGCGCGCACCCTCAGCCCACGTCTTGCGGAGCGACCGCGCCCACCGCCTGACCTCCCAGCGGATCCGATCGGTGCAATGTCTGATCTGGGAGTCGCGATGCTGCGCGGGCTGTCCATGTACGCGCATGCAAGCACGCACGCGCAGTAGTCGTCGGACTCGGACCCGATGCGATGCCAGCTCTTCCCCTTGGGCCCGTCTCGCGCGTCCGAAATGCTTCTTGGCGATGGGGGTCAGGCCACTCATGCGGGTGGCGTATCCGCCATCAATCGAGTCATTCTCGAACTATCCTAGGTAAGGAGGGGGCTGCCCGCGCCAACGCCACGGTGGCCTCCAGCAAGAACCACTAGCGAAGTCCAGGAATCTGCATGGCCGCCTCGACCGCGTCGACGATCCACGAGGCCGTAGCAGCTGTGTTGAGGAGAGACGGGGCTCCGAGATCATCTTCCAGTAGTACTGGTGAATGGTCACGGAGCACTCCCTTGGACGGGAAGAGCTGGAGCTATCTCGCCGCCTTCATCGTCAGCAGTTTGGAGACTCGCGGGGGGGCTCCAGCGGGCAGGGCGTAGTGATCGGTCCAAGACGGACCCGTCTCCCCGTCGTGCGTGGGCGCAATCTTGTGAAACGTGGTGGCGCAAGCCAAGTGATGTCGGTGCAGCCCTTCACGACGTCCTTTCGCAGCGTAGCCCATGCGCGAGTGCACGAAGGGCCCTACACACCCGAAGTGGCTGTTCATCTCGTCCTGCGCGGGCGAATCATCCAAGCCAGTGAAGATCACAGGGGTGGACCGCTCTGGCGTGCTGTCGATCACGGTGTTGAGCCACTCGAGGAGTACGTCGACCGTGCGTTTTCATGTGGCGGTGCCAGAGCGGGGCCCAGGCGGCGGGAAGTAGAGGGCGATGGCCGATATGTCGAGCGATCCAGTGGCCACCCGCACGAGACCAGCACGTCCCTGTGCTGAGGCAGGTCCAGGGAGTACGCGATGCACCCGCAGTCCGAGATCCCTCCTGCGAACCCCGACGGACACACCAGCAGCGCGATTCGTGCAAGGTCCACGTCCAGATCCAAAGTGG